AGGAATACACAGGACGTGGTGCAGTACATGTTTGGGCAACTATTCATCACGGTGGAAAACTGCTCTTCATATCCTCCATGGAAACGTCAATGGTGCCTCCGACAGACATCACATGGTAACGATAATTCTGCCATATGCTAGGGAAAGGTTTGACAATAACTTTGTATTCCAAGACGACAATACCACTGCCCACAGTGCATATATTGTACAGGATTGTCTCGATCAGAAGGACATTACAAGACTACCATAACAAGCAAACTCTCCAAACTGTAATCCCATTGAGAACAGTTGGGCAGAACTGAGCCACAAAATTGCTAATCACGACCCTAAACCAGCTACTGTAGCTGAGTTGCAGCAACCTCTAGTGAGAAGCTGGGATGAAATAACGGTGGATTACATCAATAACCCCATCGACAGCATGCAACGTCACCTTGCAGAGGTTATTAGAGTACGAGGAGAACCAACAAAGTACTGAATGTTTATTATGAACTGATATAAGGTTACAGATGCTATTTATAATAATTTGATATTATATTTTATCATTATATATGTTTTGGTAAGGTTTTGTTGTGGTAGGGGAAATGCTGAATTACACATCTTTCTACTGCTGTCTTTTAAAATTATTTGCTGTCCTAATAAATCGTTCATGATGTCCATAGAACCTGTCTCATTATACAAATTACATATATAGATGTTTAATATCCCATGCATTTTTCAATTTGACAATGCTAAGTGTATTTGTATTCCATCTTAATGATAATGATATTATTTGTTGGAAAATATGCAAACATTTTGTTTGGTAAAGGGTGTTTTTGTCTGTGTTATAATGGCTAATATTTTCACGTGCTTTCATGAAAATAGTTGGCTGAGGATTGTCCTACTGAGCTTAAACCATGTATTTACAATTCCTATGTTTATGACATGTTTTAAATATCGAAACGTGTCGTTCAATTAGAAAATTTTATAAAATATTTGAATTCTAAACATGTTAACATAAATTTCACTTGTAACGCCAACAATGATCTACTCTACCCTTTCCTGAAACATATTTTCAACAAACAAGGGCGTTTTGACGTCACTTGTTATCAGACTATATACCCATTTAAAAACTCATTCCACTTCATTCAAAAGAAAACCTTATGAAATGTATTACGTCCTGTGTGTGCTGTATCACCAGTCCTTGTGAACGTTTACGGTGAGTTACCTAGCATCAGACTATACACCCATTAAAAAACCCATTCCACTTCATTTCAAAGAAACCTTGTAAAATGTCTTATATCCCATGTGTGCTGTATCACCAGTCCTTGTGACCTTTTACGGCGAATGTTACCTAGGTTAAAATTGATTTTGAAACATAACTCCTTCAAAAACAACTTTATTGATTCCACCTTCAATAAAACCGTTCAACAACATCTATCCACTTCACTGAACTACGATGTCCCAAAGCTATAGGTAATGATTTCTCTACCGTCCACAGGCTCACACTCACGAATTTTGGAGAAGAAACTAGAAACTAAATATCGTAAAAACGAGAGTCTATTCACAAGTTCAGAACCTTTATTGAGAATTCAGAATTTGTTTAGGTTTAAAGATGTATCGAGTTTTCTCAGCAGTAATGTGTTAGTTATGAATTCTACTGCCCAACGTGTCGGGGACTTACGTCGGCTCGACTGTTAGAAGACAGAAAGATCGTTTAAAAGCACACTATAACCCTAGGTTCAAGGATAGTTCAAGCATTGTTCAGCATGTTCCAACCTCCAGTATTATGTTCAAACTAATTGGTAAAGCTGAAAACGAGACTACGCTACGGGTGAAAGAGATACTTCTAATCCTTCAAAATAAGTGTATATTGAACAATCAGTAAACAGCTACTGAATTCTTACACGCAACTTTAGGTAATTGAAAGTTAACATGCTTCTTGGCCATGTTCCGAGTTTAAAGATAATTTTAATTACTGGCTTGGGATCAAACCTGTGTGTATGGAGTTGTACTATATGTTTTCTACCCTTTTTGTAGAAAATAAGAAATTATAAATTCCGGTGTTTTTCGTAGTTCCATAGTTGGACACAGAGAAGCACTCAAGTGAATTACAAATTTTGACTTTCCTTAATTAATGGGTGAACTAGATAAAGTTGAGATTAAAATGTCCGCTCGTCTGATTCTCTTACAGGAAAATAAATGATATTTTTAATTAGCAAGCTGCGTTGTCTTGTTAGTAAATCAGACAATAAAGTTGTGAATAGACCTGCTGTTTATCTTCACTACCGGCTAGTAATTTAGTAAATTTTAAGACAAAGCAACATTAGGCTATCTGATGTGCCCATCACAAAGAATCAAACCTAGGATTTTAGCGTTGTAAGCCCGAAACTTACCGCTATTCCACTGGAGGATTTGCTGTTTAGTCAAAAAAGAAACAATTACTGTTGTGTGTGTGAGGATCTTAAGAATTAATAAACATATTTAAGACAATGTTGGGATATGGAAAAGCAGAGTCTTATAAAGGTTTTACACACAGATTTTACATACATGCAGTTTTGACATAGGTTTTATGCAAGTTTCACATTAACAGATATGAATTTATTTTTATTTTCAGTTTCATTAAGATTCAATGCAATAACCCCTAAAGTTATCGCATTCACGATTTGTGCGTGATATTTCTGCTGTAAATATTTAGTAAATAACACCCTTTGGTTTCTGTGGAACTCTGGTACTTTCATTTTTATTTAGAGAAGAGCCTGTCTGACTTTCAAATGTGCTTCATTTTATTTGGGTTGTGTTTGCCTTAATAAAACGAAGAACGTAGAGTTCCTTCCTGGTAAACATGAAGTAATATAGCATGTAGTGTTGCTAGCATAGAGTTTAAAACATATTTGATTTTAGTAGTGAAATCCATATTACGATCTTGTATTTCAATGAGGATATTATTCGATATTGTTTCATAGAATTTTGCTTACTTTTAATTTAGAGACACTTTCAGTTAGCTGTTCATATTCAGTTTCATGTTTGTTTAACTTAAAGGGGCAGAACACAAACCGATAAGAGCTTTATTGTTTAGATACAGAATCACTTGGCCAGTCGTTAATTGTGTTATTGTTTATTTTAGCATTGTAGTGTATTGTTTATCTTGCATTTTCAATTGTGAAAGTGCTAGTAAATCTTTGTATTTTGTGTAAGATTGTGTCTTGTCTCTCTCTATGTGACTCAACTGTCACATCAATCTCACTGAAAAATATATAAGTTCAAGAGTCGAGAACCTCCAGTTATTAGCAGGCCTAACTTTTCTGCTTTGTTGGTCATCCGTGAGATACCACACCTAAAACAGACATTAGGTTAAAATACGATATATAATCATATCGTGTATTTTACAACCATCTTTACTGATATAGAAGTTTCTAAAGTCTTATTGTAGTTTGTTTTATGTAGTTTGCCATGAAACACATGGTTCTTAACACTGTTTAAATTCTCAGTTGTAATTGCCTTTGTGTCTTTAACGCTCTCTTGTCATTTTTTGGCCCGAAAAAATGCGGCCGCGTTCTTTCGCTGTCCGAGTTGATAATGTCTTTATATTCCAGCTAATGAATGTTGTTAGAGAGTAACCAGTCAAATAGTGACGTCATCGTAAGAGAAAGAATATAAGGTTTTTCGCAAGGTCGAAACTTTATTTTAACTCAGTTCTACTTGTTTTGTTTTTATGTGATTAGCTCAACAGAGATCTACCCCAAGGGACAGAAAGCTGCAGATCTATTCACTGATCCAGTAGAGGTCACAATCCGCTTGTCTACGCAAATATGCACGCTGTTTTTTGAGTTTGTGTAATAAATAAAAATTGTTTCATTTTCCATCAAATGTGTCCAATCTGTTTATTTCTCGCTCATCTTTATACCCAGTCGAGCTTTCAGATTCAGATTATTCAACAAATTTCCTGCTCGCAGCTCGATCCTCCCATTATGAAGAGGACGTGTCTAATACTTGCGAGGAAACCAGTTTATATGAAAATACCACGTTGTAAATGTATTGTTGAAGACGGGAGATAAATTCAACTTAAGATTAAAGAAAAATAAATATTTGCTATCAGTTCCATGGTAGAAAGATTTAACACATTTATTCCATCAACTAGTTATAGAAAAACGTAACGTAACCTGTATTTTCAATTAATTATTTATAACACGTTATGTCATAAATGAAGTGATTGGAAATAGGCAGAATATAACAAGTGAATTACTCAGGTTACTTATAGTTTAGCGACTAGGATCAAACAAAGTCGTATGGACTGTCCTTCCTTTTTCTGTATAGTACTGAATTTACACCATTTTTTGATCTTCTGGAGGTCGATCTGTCTGAATAATATTTAAAAAATATCGATAATACTACGATCAAATTGAATTGGTAACAACAGGTTTGAATTATAAAGAATTAGTTTGAATAAATTCACAGAACAATAGAGGAAAAGGATCGTTAACTAGAAATTTAACTGAAAGCTGTATTATGCTTGTTCATACCCTCTAGTGTACATTTGTTGATTGTAATTTGATATGGTTGAACTTAGAGAAATATAACCTCCTTTGTTTTTATTCTAAATTGTAATCACTCCTTTCGATTTCCTCATTTATTTTTTAAAGAAATTGTCTGAAAAATAAACGTTATTAGCCTTTCCACTTTGGTGAATAATTTTTCGAACTTGCCATGTGTCAAACCGGTGATAACCAAGAAACATATTTTGACTAGGGAATACCGCAATGTTTTTTGTTTTTTTTTGTTATTTTTAACTAATTACTCATAACAGACATTTTAACTTGGACATTATTCTGAACTGATTTTTATTTTATTGTATAATTTTTTCTGAAGAAAATGTAACTCTCTTGTTATTTGAAGTAATTTTTATAATTAGTTACGTCTTGAGAACTTTTGGAAATGACTGCACGTTATGTTTCTATATTTTGACACAGAACCAAAAGCATTATGTCGGTTAGCTGCGCCATCTACTGACTAGCTTCGCTTTCTAACTGCCAACATGGCTGGTATGAAACAAACTCCGCTCACGTGCAGTGGCCATACGAGACCTGTTGTCCATCTTGCTTTTAGCCAAATTACTCCATATGGATATTTCTTAATATCTGCATGCAAAGGTTTAAAGTCAAAATCTGATTTATTTATTTAATGAGATACCTGACATTAGTCTACATCTCTTTGCTAAGTTCAACTCGCATTCGCTCTTTCAGTTCTTTAAAAGTTTAGTACTACTAGGTTTACAGTAAAAACATGAAAGTTTGACTTTAAAATAAGTATATTTTATGTTTAATTTAAAGTTTTGTTCTGTGAATGTGACTTTACATTTTTGTACTGGTAGTAGTAGTAGTATTACTGATGCATAGTACTAGTAGTGATAGTATTAGTACTGATACTGATACACACTAACACTAGTGTTACTATTAGTAATACTAGTCGTGACTTAATATGTAACATTAACACTAGTAACAGAAACCTTGCTGTCGTGTCAGCAATCAACAGTAAGTTACTTACTGTAGCACTTTCATAGTAGCTTATTACCAATACAAGTAATAGTAATATCATAAAAAGTTTGATAACTTTCTGTTACTTATACGTATAGGTTATAGTACTGAATCAGTGAATGATACTTACATTGGCTTAATGTAAATATATATATATATATATGAATCACATTTACGTTGGCCACCAGGCTATACAACCTTTTGTATAAAGGTTGCACTTTACAACATTACTTAAAATTTAAATGTAAATGAGATTGGAACAGTGGAAAGCATACTGGAGTGATCTTTATATTACCTTTAGCTATTGCTGCTAATCAGGTCAACTATGAAATAAAACAATGTACATAAATATTTTAAATTAACTCTCCTTGATTCAAAAAATCAACTAAAATTTGCAAAAAAAAAGTTTTTAGCATATTGCTTTTCTGTTTCTATAGAAATTTTCAGTTTAAAGGTTTTACTTCATCATTACATTCACATTCTAAACATAGCAGCTAGTTGTGATTTTTCTGTAGGATACATCTCCATGAGCTTATTCTATATACCCTGACACACAATGCAGTCAAAAAATTTACAATGATTGCTGGCTATAACAGTTTATACAGTTATAACACAAATACAATTTAAGAAGTTTTGCCAGTGTTTTTCAATTCATAATGGGTCTTTGTTAACTAAAAAAATTGTTTTTAATTTTTAATATTCTTTTATGTTCAGCCAACTAAATGACTGAAGTGGCTGGCATGTACAAGATATTCATAATTTTATAAAGCATGTTTGTAATAATGGAATTATGCTTTCTTTCAGAATGCTTTTTGATTCAAATGGAGGAACATCTAATGGTTAAACCTGTATGTCTGTTGTTAAATAGCAAAATTCAAAATAGTGCATCATAATATAAAGATATTTCTTCAAATAAAACATCAACACAATGTAAAATAAACAAAAGAAAAACACATACAAGCTTTAATATTCCATTCCAAGATTATTGTACATATAAGTGGAACATACTGGTCATGGAAAAAAAATGCTCTAAATTTACAGGCCTCAGCAACACTGGTGCTTCTTAACTTGTAGTTTTTTGCCTAAGCCTGAATTATGTCTTCCTTTGGATTTCAAGTTTTTATATATGTATATATATATTGTACATTTACAGGGTTTTCAGTTGGTACTTGTGACACTTAAAAACATTTTTTTTTCTTTTACATGGCTTTTAGAACTTTAATTAGAAATGAATAAAAATCCAAAATTAGATAATTGCATTTCATTTATATCAATTATTATCTTAATCATTAAATATTCCCCTCCCCCTATTTATTTGGTAACTCAATTTGAAATTATTTATCAATACCAACATGTATTGGATACAGTATTTACATCACCAAAAATATATGTTTTTATTAGCATATATGACACAAGGATAGGGATAAGGCTAAAAATTACATAATATTACTTACATGTTTCTTCTTGTAATGGGTAATTTCCATACATAAAGGATGACTGAAACATTGATTGAAAAAGTTATATTTGTGTATACTGTTTGGTAAATACTTAATTTTTGACAAGGAAGAGAAAAATTTTAATAAATTAAAGTAGTAGTTACTTGAGGATACTTTTTGGCTAAAAACTACTGTTACAGTTTTTTTTTTTCTAGATGGGAAGCCAATGCTCCGACAAGGTGACACTGGGGACTGGATAGGAACATTTGTTGGCCATAAGGGAGCTGTATGGGGAGTTGCACTGAATAAGGATGCCAGCCATGCAGCAACTGGAGCTGCTGATTTCACTGCTAAAGTATTACTTTTAATTTCTTGTTTTCTTTCTTAAGAACAAATATCAATGTAATTGACAATATTTGAGACATTTTCTCTAAAACTGGAAAGATTTTGTAAAGATAAGCCACTTGAGTTCTACTTATGTCATATTAGAATATGAAGTAGGCTTATGTCATATCTTACTGTCCTTACTAAGCTTAGCATAGTGGTGTATTTTTATGGCTTTTATTTATGAAGTCTGTCCCTTAAGCTGGCATATGTAAAACATTAGATGTGTTTTTAAGCACCAGATGTCTTTTGGTGATTGGATTAGCTACCCAAAACTTTCATAGATACATTATTTTGTATGCAAATTAAATCTATAATTCTGTTTGCCTTACCAACATTACATTAAAATGTTTAGATTTGAAATTATTCTATATAAAACCATTCAGGTCATCATGATGATTTTTTTCACTTTCCAGACAATCAATCATTCTTTCATATCCACATACTTGTATTAAGAATGTATTAGGAACATAAAAATAGAAATATTGAAAGAAAAACCATTTATTCAGTTGAGGCAATCTTTTCACTTTTCAAAAATCAAAGCAACATTGCCAATTCAAACCAAATGTAGTCTTTAATATCCAAGTACTTATCCATCAGAAGTCTGAGTAAATTCCAACTCACAGCACACGACTACTTTCTAAGGTAAACCATTTCACAAGTTTATAATTCTAATGTAGAATATTACTGTATGGAAATAATCTTAGCCCTGAAGTTCTAAAGCTAGCACTTGCCTTTAATATGTTTCTGTTTCAAACCTTATTCCACCATTTATATAAACCTATCATAATTAAAGCCACTAACAGGAGACACTTAAGTCCTTTCTGTTTTTTTCTGAACTCCAAATAATTTAAATCTCTTAAACCAAAATCTTCCATCATGGGAATTGGAAAAAATAGTTTATTGGATTTGTTGGTTGCTGGTTGAAAGAAAGCAAAAAGTTGTTAGTTCATTGAAAATGGACATTTTTTACTAGTGATGTGCCTCTGGGTAAAGTGCTTGTGCCTTTGGTTTTTATTTATATTAATGACATTGATAGGGGAATAATAACTAAATTAGCAAAGTTTGCTGATGCCATTAAACTTTTGTATTTTTAGCTGAATTGAGGATATGGAGGTATTACAAAATAACTTGGATCAGTTGGTACATTGAACAATTAGTACAAATAGTTGGCAAATGACGTATAATTACAGTATGTGCAAGGAAATTCATTGGGATTAACATAATTTAGGTCAGATTTAATATAGGTGAGAATTCACTCAATAGTGTGACTAAAGAAAAGGATCTTGGCATAGTGGTAGATAAGTCACTGATGCTATCAAGGCAGTGCTTTGTTTCTGGTATTAAAGTTAATAGAATTTTAGTGTATTTATAGACTCATTGAGCACAAGTCAAAAGAGGTAGTTATCTTTACAAATCACTTTGAATACTGTGTACACTGTAGGTCTCTCTATCAAGAAGAGATATTGAAAAAAATTCAAATTAAGATTACAAGTATGATTCCAGAGATGGAAGGATTATCTTATGGAATAGGACAAAATCTATTAACTTATTTACTCTTGAAAAAAGGGGGGTAAGAGGTCGTCTAATTGAAGCTTACAAGGTTATTTAGATGATCAGTATGATAAAGGTCTCTGAATACTTATGACAATATGATAAGAGTATACAAGTTTAAGACTTGAAAGAATAATGGATCAGACTCAGTTAAGAAATGTTTAAGATTTTTACCAGGCTGATTAGCTTGTGGAATGAGTTGGTATATTGAGCATCTTTACAAAAGGTTAAGAGGGGAATCAATTATTTCCTAAAAATATAAGATGAGCCCATGTTGTCCATGTATTATGTTAATAAATAAACCAAAATGAAACATGATATTCTATAAAAAACCTCATAAGTAATCATGTTGGTAATAATATAAATTCAAAATTATTTTGAAGCTATAATTTCCAATAAAGTACATTACTTCCACTGACATAATAGCTTTTTTGTTCAGTGCTGCCCTCTGTATGCAATATTTTTTTATTTACCATTAGCCCTGAAACTCCAATCTACTCCATAATCAAAGTGTAAATTATTATGCGACAACCTTCCACCAATAGGAGTGTGACACACACTCCTGACACAGGTTACTCTATTTGATTTCACCTAACAGTCACTTCGCGTTAGGTAGTTGTTGAGTTCAGATGTTCTAACTTTTTGTATGAATTTACACGATTCTTTCTTTTTCAAAATAGTACTTTCAAGTTTTCACAGATCTTTGTTAACTGTACTTTATTATTAAGTTAACTTACCTTGTTTTTTCCTTTGGTTTAACTTGTCTTTTCAAACCTTTTTATCAAACTCATTCACAGTTGAATATGATTTCCAAATTTCGAGTCTCGACTTCTGCTGCTGTAACTACTACTTTGAATGTTGTGATAAAAGCTTCAGGTACGGGGGTCTAAGCTTTCGTTTGTCCAGAAATTTAACTTTACATGGGTCATCCCTCTTCTCCCAACCCTACCCAAGCACTTCCAGTGCCAGTGGAACCTATTCATGAAGATGAGGATTTTGACAGCCTGTTTCTTCCACTCACTGCCATGCAAGCCCGTGTGTCTCCTGAGATTTTGATCATCCAGTCCACTGTGTGTTAGGTCCTTCTGGTAGCTCCTTTCTGGCCAGCAAAACCCTGGTTTTCACTTCTCCTTCAGCTCTGAACAACTCCTCCATTACCTCTTCCTCTGACACCATTCCCTCTTTCGTCAACCTCGGTCACCAGCCCTTCACACATTCTGTCTTCATGCATGGCATTTCTCCAGTCCCTTGTGAGGAGATTCGGTTTATCCATGTGTGTAGCATCCCTCTTGTTCCATTCTGTTTGTCCTTCCTCTCACAATTTATCAACAAAAGTGGAAGGTTTTAAGATTAAAAGCAGTACCAAGCTAACCTAAATGTAACATTTCCATGTAGCCTGATAAGTAAGTAAAGCCACTTAAGTACTTTACAAGTGTTTTCTTTTATAGTATTTTAAACCTTACTTTCAGGATGAACATTCTAATTTATGATTGACCATCAGTGCCAAGGTTTGAATAGATTTGCACTTAACTAATAGGCATAAAATAATTTTAGTTATGAGCTACATAACATTAAAAGATGGTAGAGGTAGTTGATTTAAAGCAGGCTTAATTTTTTGACTGCACCTTGTAATTCACTACATATGTTATATGTATATATGTATTTTAATTTTCTGATTGTTTTTAAACTTAATTTTTTCAAATAACTTTCATCTGTACTGTTTATCATTTATCATTACTAAATTATTTTCACAGTCATCATTTTGAGACTTTGCCAATGATGGATTAGGTGTATTTTAAAGTATAAAACATCTATAAATAAACTTTTCTTCATAACCACCATCATTGTTACCAATACTGAACTTCTTGCCTGATCTTAAGTTAAGGATAGTTAAGGATAACAATGATTCATTTAAGATATTTTAAGCAAATATTATTGATAAATATTTAATAGATTATCTTTAACCCTTTTGCAACAGGTCATGTCAAAGGCCATGTCATCGTGTTTGTTGACTTGCATTCAAAATTTTATTGAACTACCATTTTATGAATTTATCTCAATAAGTTTGGTATGAAATGGTATTATAATTCAAATTTTAATATTATACGTTAGTTAATTTCTTAATTTAAAAGTAAATATTAAAAAAATACAGCTAAACCTCAGTTTTGTATGTCACATGGTATGTTGTTTGCAGCGCTGGTTCGAATTAGATATTTGTGATGTCAAAATATAAAATCTACAGTTTCATACGAAATAGGAACTCAAACTATCAATATTGAAAAGCTAGAATATAAAAAATGAACATCTTATCTTTTCTATTTCCTAAGATATCACTCATGTACTGAATCAAACACATTTTTGGAAACAGTCCCTTATATACACTTACTTCTATATATTACATGAATAACCAATCGAAAGCTCAGAATGTCTCCCTAGTGGTTTTCTCAGCCATTTTAATGTGTTATTGTGTTAATTTCATTCCTTTCGTAATTTATTTTTTTTGGGGGTATTTAAAATGTATATATAAAAAAAACGAAAAAAAATTTTCTTTTCACATCCTCCATGTGGGAAATTTCATAAGGCTTAGCAACCTACAACAAGCAGCAAACTAATACAAGGGTCATAACCAAAAGAAATAATTGTTTGCTTCTTTATTTACTGTTCTATGTTTTAAGAAAAATAAAATTAAGAACTTATTTGTGAATAGTAATAATGTATGTATATATATATATATTGTATAATAATTGAAATGTGACTGTATTTTAGAAAATAGTAAGTAGTCCACTAAAACTTAGCCAAGACAGGTGACTTTGTAAAGACTGAAGGTCAGTTTTATATTATTGGATATGTAACATGAGTGCACGTGCACTGCATCATAGTAACTTCTGTATTCAAATTCGATGACGAGGAACCCACTTTGAGTTTAATAATGGTTGGAGATAGCTTGAATGGGTAATGAAGAAAACTTTAATATAAGTTTAACATAACAGTAAATGTACAAATGAATGTTTCAATGATGACAAAACCTTGTCGAAACGTTGTACATTTACTGTTATGTTAAACTTATATTAAAGTTTTTCTTCATTACCCATTCAAGCCGTCTCCAACCATTATTAACTTCTGTATTGTTAGCCAAGCATGGCTGGAAGGTGAATATAATAAAAATAATAAATATATATGTATAATGTTATGAGATTTAAGCTATTTAGATTAAACATTTGTGTTTTCATGTTACAATTTGTAGTCATTCTAAAACGAAAAAAGCATAATTTATATATTTTTTCCCCCAATTTTATTATTGAGGTTATGAAGTCGGTCAAATTGAAGCAACCCATAAAAAAATATAGTAGTGACAATATGAAATAAAGTATAAAGTTTTTCTAAAAAAAAATTTCATAATTAACTGGAGATTATGTGGAATATGAAAATGTTCTTATGCATTAAAGTATTTTTAATCTTAAAAACCAGAATTGCTTTGTATGTTGATTCGTCAACATTTTGAAAGAAAAAGGTTTTTGAGAAAATCGTTAATTAAAAACCTGATATTTTGTGTACAAAAAACCTTATAATGTTTACAAACAACCTGCAAAATATTATAAAGATGTGCATACATTATCAAAAACCATAGTATAATTACTCTCATGGATACTTTCGTGGTTACAAGCTGGATGGATTGCACCCAGCCCGTAATGGAAAGGATAATTAATAAATGCCTGTTATTTATCATCTGCTTATCTTTCTACACATTCTGTGACAAAATATTTTTTGTGCTTTGTAAGTTATTTATAAACATAATTTTTCTTGAAACCATGTTTTGATTTTCAATTCTTATTTAATTCCATACTGTAGTTTTAAAAAGATTTGAATTTTTTTCTTAGATAGAAGTTGCATATTACATATTATGATATTATAGATATTGCATATTTATTTGGAGAAGGTATAAAGTTGGTTTTATAAGCACATAAATATATAATTTTGTTTTCAGTTCCAGTTATTAATAAAGATTGATGACCTTTTGTGCCACTAAAAATCCCCCAATTCTCTATTTTTGCACCATGTGAATCCTCACTTGAATAACATTTTCACACTTCCTGCATTTTTCTTACTTGTGTTCAGAGAAATCCCATCATTAAGGTATCTGCAATATTAAAAGATTTTGTGTACCGTTACTTTACAATATCACTCATTTTCAGGCATTTCAGGATTTCGGAATCTTCAAATATGTGTTTATTAGCAAATCTCTTTAATTATTATTGTGTTTATAAGTTTAGTCTGTTTCCATTTTAAGGTATGAGAGAAGGTTATTTTTATATTCTTAATTCATTACAGTCAGTGACAGCTCATGGCTATTAAAACTTTTTAAAGTTCAATAAAATATTTGTAAATTCAATTTATAGAAGTGAACTTGAGCCTAATTTCATTGTAACATGACTTTTACTGCCTGACGAAGAGCACCTACCTGAAATGTTGTATAGAATATAATTATAAAAAGTTTTTATGTAGACGTGTCAACTTATTCTTTATTATCTTTTATCCAAATGATACTTTTAATTAAGTATATTTATTAGTCATTAGGCAAATAAATTTTTCCAATTTTCTAGCAACACTTATTTTAAATTCAAGGATTGATGTTGCCATCTATATACTTGCTTATTGTTTAATTTCTAGTTAATGGAATGAAAGGTTGAAACACATCTGAAGTATTACAAATATATACTTGCTTATCTTTAGGTCATTGTAGTTTATTATACCATGCTTAAAGACTACCAGTTGCTTTGGCAAGTTGGCACTAAATGTTTTGTTCATATATGAGTTCTAGAAAAAAAAAACGTATTTTAACTGTTAGTGTTAATTATTGATGGTTATCTGAAAAAGCATGATGTGAAATATTTTGCAAAATAATTGTAGTTAGACCAGAAAATCTGTTGTTGAAGTAAATAAAAGTATTGTAACCTGTATTAATCTTAGTCATGTTGTATAACTCTTATTAAAGATATCTTATCAAACTTAAGGATATCTGTGGAATTTTATTGAATTAGAATATAGATCTTTGTCTTGTTTTAAAAATTACTTACACAGCTGAAGTATGAGATAAACCTGTCCTAAAATTTGTTGTTTCAAAAAACTGTGGATATATTACTGTTAAAAAAAATGGAAATTTGTTTTAAAGCTTTGGGATGCAGCAAGTGGTGAAGATCTTCATACTTTTCCCCACCAACATATAGTGAAGAGTGTGAACTTCAGTCCAGATGGGAAGAAGTTGCTGACTGGTAGCAATGAAAAAATTGTACGCATTTTTGATATCAACCAGTATGATGCAGGTATTGATTATTAGTATGAACCATAATTAAAGTTTATTAGTATCTTAATACGAAAGTATTTTTGAATTTGTTGGGGTGAATATTTTGGTTTGGTTTGCACATATATTTAAGTGGCTCATCCATTTTTGTAACTTAGTATTAACTTAGCTCATTTTGTAGATATTATATATTTTAAATGGCTGATCCGTTTTTGTAATCTAGTATTAAATTAGCACATTTTGTAGATATCACATCTTAAAGTGGTTGGTCCTTTCTTGTAATTTTGTCTGTTTTGTAGATATTCATTTTTAAGTGGGTAATCTTTTTGTTATAATTTGCCATTTTTTTTATTTTTAATGTTTAGCCAGATATATGCATGCATACATAAATGCTGTAAACAGTTTTAGAATTCTTTTTTAATTTCATTGTTCTCAAATATCTACACTGAACAGAGTTTACTTTGAGAAATTTGACTAATTTTCCTGGTAATTGTTAGGTATTTTCTATTTTAGCAGCCAGTCCTGCTAATATATGGTCATTAATCAAATAATGTGTAGTTGATATATATAGACCTCAAGTGTTGTTGCCCCACTAGTAATAAATTGTTCATTTCAGCTATTCTGCAATATTAAAATAAAACAAATTGTCATGTTGTTCTTATTTTCAGTTCTTACGCACTTGTACTCTTCTATCAACTTCTTTATTTTGTATTATTCCTCTTTCTACTTTCATTTTATGGTATTGTGTTCATATAAATAGTTCTCCAAAATACAAATTTAACATAATTCAATGCCAAACTCTTTATCCATGATACTACTTCCTAACTCACTATCACACTAGTTTTAATTACAGCTAGTATGCAAGTCATATGTTATACATCTTTAACAAATTAATGTGCAGCCTGCAAGTGTGCAATAAATAACACTGGTGGGTATTGGGTACAAAGCATTGTGTGTGTGGTTCTTTGGGTGGCGAGTTGTTTAATTTTAAAACTAAATGCTGGTATTTGTACAACAAAAAGTGAGAAGAGTGAAATTTTGCACTCCCAAGTCACTTCCTGGAATGCAATTACTCTCATTAAAATTTGACCAGTCTCAAAACAGTTTATTAGGTTGATGAACCTTAGATTGTATGAAAATAGCTTCTTCTTTTTATTTCATGTATTTTTGAGAGTTGCAAAGTTATCATTAATCCAATTATCTAATTTTTGTACTAAATACTGTACATCAGAGCTTCTTATATAGAGCTGGACAATTAGTAGATCTGCTAATAAATTAATTAACAGCCCAATTGATCCATTATTACAGCAGTTAAAAATTAGAGACAATGGTAGATAGTTTTAGCAGTTTTGCCATAACAAAAACAGGGTAAGTAAGTTTGGTAGCAATGGGAATCAAACCTGAGATCCTTGAATCACAAGTTTCCCACCTCCCGAATCAACAAACTTGAAGTAAAATGAAACATCTTGTAAGGCTAAAGTTGAATAAAACACACATACCCCATTATATAGCTTTGTGTTCAACAATAAACAAACATAATGGCAATATTTCGATTACTTGGATAGTTGGAATAATAAAAAATTATGCTTCAATTAATTAATTTTTCTCAGTCAATTTAATCATAATTTTGATTATTGGAATAATTGAAAACAGTAATAAACAGAAATACTAATTTCAATTAGTTGATTATTACATGACAATCAGTTTAATTGTAATTTTGATTAATCAATTGTTGGAATACTCATGAACAGTAATAATGAGAAACACTAATTCATATAAATTGATTTAATCATAATTTAATTTCCTCTTTAATCAATTACTTTATGTAGCATTAATCAATGTTATCACTGCTCATAGGTAATCAGTTAGCCTTATTAGTCAACTAAATCTCCCAACTTTATTCTTATATAGAATTTAATCTAAAGAACCACTTACATCACTTCAGGTTTTAATCTTTTAATTTTCTATGAAAACCACAATCACAAATTTATGAAAACATTCAATTTTAATCATTATCAACAATACTGACTTTGAATAAAATCACCTGTTGATTCACTCTTCTAGTAGCTAGTCATCTGTATGGAGTTTTGCTTTAGTGATAGAAATTACATATGACAGCAAGCAGGAAACATTAATATTCAGTGATTAGCTTAGTATTCTGTCAAAACAATGAATAAATTATCTTTTTACTATCTCGTTATACTTAGTTGTTCAAGTAGAAATCTTTCTTATAGATTAACTTCATGGTTAAAATGTTTTTTTTTTTATATATATACTACCTACTTCACATGCTGGACACAGTAAGGTGGAGCTGGAGCTGTCTTGTGATTTTCTTCAGTTCACTTTAGTCCATTGCATGGTCTTGAACAGTAGATATGTTTGAGATTTTTTTCTCTCTTATTTTTTGGAAATTGGAATTCACTAATAACTTATATTTTGAATTATTTAATACTAGATATGTTACCTAAAATTCTTTAACTTTTTTGCTGAACTATGAAGAAGTTTTGCTGTTAAAAAATGCACAAATATTATAAAAACGTATGTGATTTGAATGCTTCAGCTATAGATGAAGCAGGATAGCATTAAATAACTGTGTATCCAGTTCCTTTTTTCTTTTCTTTTTCAGAACCTTTGCTGTTTAAGGGTCATACATCTGCCATTAGACATGCTCTCTTTTTAAAGGAAGAAAAAGTTGTGATTAGTGCTTCTGATGACAAGACTGTAAGGTGAGTTTACTGAGGAACCAACTTGTGATAAAAAAACATCCACATTCCATGCTAGTTGCAACTAGACTAATGGTAATGGGACTAGTGAAGCTGTAGGAGTTCACTAAACATGTTCATTATTAGTTTGTTTTTGTAATACCTATTTAATATATCAAAGCAAAATATACGACAAAATTTAACTTTCAAGAGCCACTCTTATAGTTTTCTATTATTCTTGTTAAATGGTTAGTAACACAGTGGGAGTGGGATTCCTTACACATATTTCGTAGTTAAATTAGAGTACTATATAACAAATGCTCTGTCACAATTATTGTTTCCATTAAACTCCTAACTCGGCTTGGCATGGCCAGGTGGTTAGGGTGCTCGACTCGCAGTCTGAGGGTCGTGGGTTTGAATCCCCATTACACCAAGCATGCTCGCCCTTTCAGCCATGGGGGCATTATAATGTGACGGTCAATCCCATTATTCTTTGGTAAAAGAGTAGCCCAAGAGTTGGCGGTGGATGGTGATGACTAGCTGCCTTCTCTCTAATCTGTCTAGGAATGGCTAGCACAGATAGCCTTCGTGTAGCTTTGCGCAAAATTCAAAACAAACCAATCTCATAACCAAATTAAAGTATATCTGTATTCAATGTATTTTAGTTAAGCCAGACTGCATGTATATAAGAAAATTAGCAACTTTTATATATGTGTTAAGCTTAATTTTAAACCACTGCCTCTTAATATTTTTTTAAAATCTAGTTATATTTTGAAATAATACTACACAAAATTCAGTATATTTGGTTCCATGATTTATAAAATTATTAGTTATTGGCTGCACTTGTAATTTTTATCTGCAACTTTATATGTGTGACTACAACTTTGTTTTATTCTGCTTATAAGCTCAGCTTTTAAAAACTAGTTAACAATTGTGGTATATTGAAAGCTTCAGAAATTAGACATTTGTCTCTTGTGACTTTGTATGATGGAAATTAATGTTAATGCAAGCCTTTTAATGGTATCCTACTATGTCTGTATGTGTGTATCATCCATCACCCAGAGTTGGCTGACTCAATTACTGTATTTTTTTAATATTAAGTTCAAACTGTCTGACTGTGTACATAAGCAATTTTGTTTAGGGTTTTTGTCCTAGAGGGGAGGGGGGGGATAAAAATAACCCAGAAATAGGGCACACTTCCACTTTTTTCCATACTTTTGGTTTTGAGCTTAAAGACACACATACTCAATCATTTAAATGAATGAGTTATTACTTTCCAGCAGCTGTTCTTGTTCAGTGCTGCACTCTATATGCTAAACTTTTTTTTTGCATGCCACAAGCCTCATAAATCTCGCATGTAAATCAACATGTGACAACCCTCCACCAATAGGAGTACGACACACCCTCCTAACGCATGTGACTCCCTCTATTCTACTGAACTATCACTTCTCGTTTGGCGTTTTTTGTCTGGCACCTTCCCGTCATTTACCTGTCAAAGAGTTTCTCCAATAGTTGTGTATTCTCGATGCAAATTGGAAATCTGTGTTCGATCTGTCCTGCCTCAATCACTTCTTGGTTCTTTCCCTTTTTACTATGTTGTCTTTTATCACACTCTGATGGGCAATTTCTCCAGGATTGAGGATGTCCAAGGTCAACATTTTGTATTCTTGTGCCCACGTTCCTATTTCTGATCCCTTGTGGAGCTGTCTTGGGTTTGTTCATCATGGGGTTGGGTATCAGTTTCGTGCCTTGTCCTTCAAACTTCTTTTGTATCTGTATGTCTTTCTCTCCAGTTCCTCATCCACTTGCTGTAGCTGTCGATGCATTCAGACAGGATAGGGACCTGTATATACCTTTATTTTTTATCCCATTCATTATCTTCTCTTGGTGATTTTGTTTATCCTTGCCACTCTGTGTCAGATCTTTGTGATTGCTCTTTCCTGGCTGACATAGATCTTGTTTTCTCAGCTGCTTCAGCTCGATCTGTTAATTTTGTTTTGGATCGATTTTTCCTACCCTCCACTTTGGCAGCTCGTGTGACATGTCCTTCTCTTTCTTCATTTTTGTTTCTTTCCATCTCCCTCCTTAAATCCTAATTGGATCTGGATGGCCTTCTATGTCCTGTTCATGCCTTCAAGGCTTCTTTCTGTTGGTTCCCTTTCCTACTGTTTCATTCTCTGGCACCACTCCTCTGTTCGTGACATTTTTCTTCCTCCCTTACCCTTTGGATTTAGTTTTGATTCAGTTGGCTTCTTCTTCCTTTTCTCTTTTTTCCCATAATCAATTCCTGGTGTCTTCACTCTGATTAGGCACCTTGCCTTTTACCTACATCTCTCTCTCGTCGTACATTGGAGGTACTTCTTCCATTGAGCACTGGGACTACACCTTGTTCACTTATCTCCTATTATCTGCTTTGGGTAGCTGTTTCTTCCTCTTTGGAATACCGTCTTCCACCTGTTGCCATCCTTCACTCTTCAGTGAAACTGTAACTGGGTAAGTTACCTTTGTGTGCGTGTGTGTGTGTGTGTGTGTGTGTATATATATATATATATATATATATACTACTTCTTTATTTACGAGGTACTATTACTTTTCCTTTTTCGTTACTTACGTACGTACCTACCCTACGTTCGTTTAGGTTAGGTTCGGTCGTCCGTTCGTTACTAAGTATT